AGGATGTCCCAACGCACCCTCCTTCTGATCTGCCGTCGCAAACGTCATATGGAACAGCCGACGCTCGGTTCGCAGTCCCTCGGACAAGCCCTGCTCGAACGCTACAAGCGGCGCGCATAAACCCCAGGCCACAAAATCGAAAAGTAAACAAAACCAGGGAGTCACGCAACTCACCGGCGTTGACGGCCTCCTTTTGTGCCTGCACCGCGAGCTGACTCTTCCCGGCGATCTCTGCAGCAAGCGCGATCGCCTCGCGCACGACGGCGCCCTCGCCCTCGCCGCGACGCGGCTCGCCATCCCCCACGCGACCGCCTCCTCCGCGGTCCACATGCGCCCCGTGAGCGTGAGCTCCATCGCGCGCGACTTGCCCACTGCCCGAGCGAGCCGCTGCGACCCCCCGCCGCCCGTGATCGTGCCGATGTTCACCTCCGGCTGGCCGAATTTCGCGCTCGGCGCCGCGAGCAGGATGTCCGCCATCACGCGAGCTCGCAGCCACCGCCGAGCTGTAAATCGTTGTCGTCAGCGTGGTGAGCGGCAGATAAGGGAGAGAAGAAGGGAAGAAGGAGGGAGAGGAGAGACACGGTTTTTTGCTTACTGCGTAGCCACTGACGGCGGCGATGATCGGCTTGCCAATCGTGGTGATTTCCTGCCAGCTCTCTAGGAACTTGTTCTGGTACGCGTCTGAGACTGGAACCGTGCGCGTGCCCCTCCGTGGTCAGCGCGCGATCATCCCCCGCGGACAGGACTTGGCATTATTTTTACTCACAGGACTTGTCCTTCATCTCCTTGATATCAGCACCAGCTGAGGCCCCCCAGCCACCCAATGCATGTCAGCGCGCGTCGCTGAAAGGAGACATGGGGAGGCACTCGCACCAGCAAAGGCCTTCTCAGAGCCTGTGATGACAATGGCCCCGATCTCCTTGTCTGCGTCAATGAGGCGCAACGCCTCGTTCAGTTCCTTGAACAGCGCGGTGTTGAGTGCGTTGAGCGCCTTTGGGCGGTTGAGCGTCACGAGTGCGACACCTGGCTCAGGCCGTGACGTGAGTATGTTCTCGTACTGCGTGTTGAAGGCGGACATGAACAAGAACCGGGCGGGTGTAAAGATGAACTTGTGTGGCGAAGCAAGTGCAGTACGGGCTGCGATTCGGCGAAAAACGAGGAAAGACATTATAATGCGGTGACGACAGGAAGACAGTTCGGCCCCGCGCTGATTAATGGAGCGGGATTACCACTTCATGACCATGGCAAGCCGCCAGCCGAGCGGAGGGGCACATGTTACTGATTTCGGCATGTTTTGCTGCGACGACAGCGAATATGAACGACTTGCGATTACCCCTGGTAAGGGTCCATGTAACGACGCGTCCCTAGTAGACATGCTACAGTATACTATCCGAGTGAAACGAGGCATGACAACTACTTTACTTTCGGTTCAGTTCAACAAATGTCATGTGTCCATGAGGAGAAAACAGCCACGACGACGACACTAGAGTAATAGGAAACCAAACACAAAAACCTGAAGTAGATCCGTATTATCGGACAAGCAGTCGAGCGTCAAGTAGGTGGGCTGGTCATAGCAGGGTGCGCCAACCGGCTTCCTTGGCTTTCTTGACAAGCCTTTTCACCTCCTGTGACCGGGCACGTGTCGTAACCAGTAGCGTGTCGGGCATATCGACGATCACGAGGTCGTCCACGCCTAGGCACGCTACCAGCCGACCAGAGCCAGGTACAATGATGCCACCAGCGACCTGCTCTGTGAGAACTGGGGACCCACGTCAGATCCTGTGGCCGTCAGAGACCACCGGAACAAAATGGCGGACGTACCGAGTCCGCTATCGCCAAGGATACGGGGTTGGTTCGCTTCGGCAGGCAGGAGTTCGGCAATTGACGAAAAGTCCCCAACGTCGTCCCAACCTGTGGCGCCGCCACCGATCAGATTGAAGGACTGTATACAGTACAGTAGGAAACATGAAACACGTACCAAACGTCGCGGGAACTACCGCAACACGGCCCTCGAGCGCTGCTGGCTCTGCGACCGCGTGATCGATGGCGATCTTCTCAAGGCCGGGCCACACTTCCTCAAGTACCTTGCTGCGCTGAGTCTCATCATCCCAGACGGCAGCAACTCTCGTCAGAGCTTCCTCAAGCTCGGGCTTATACTCCCTGAGCAGCTCCAGCAAGAACGAGGCCTTTGTGACGAACATGCCCGCATTCCAGCGATAAGAACCGGTGGCGATGTACGTAGCGGCGGTGCGCGCGTCGGGCTTTTCTTTGAAACTCGAGACGAGGCGCGCGTTTGGCGCTTCGGGAATGCCAAGCTTGTCGCCCAACCGCACATAACCGAAACCCGTCGACGGGTGAGAGGGAGCAATGCCAATGGTGACGAGATAGCCCTTGTGCGCGACCTGGACAGCTTCCGAGACGGCGCTAAGGAATGCGTCATTACCTGAGATCATATGGTCGGCTGCAAACGAGCCGATGACGGCATCAGGGTCACGCAGTGCGAGAATTGCGGCAGCGAGGCCGATTGCGGCCATCGAATCTCTTGGTCCCGGTTCACAGAAGAGATTGTGGGGCAATAAATCAGGCAGCTGTTCATGGATGCTCCTAACGTGGGAAGGCCCAGCGACGACCGTGAGATGATCTGCGCCGCAGAGTGGCAGCAAACGATCCCAGGTTGCTTGGATCAGGCTACGGCCTTGAAGGGTCACGTCGAGGAGGAACTTGGGGTGGTTCTCCCGTGACAGGGGCCACAAGCGCGTGCCAGCGCCTCCAGCAGGGATGACAACATAGAAGCCAGGAATTTCACGAATAGGGCCAAAAGGATAAGAGGCCAGGCTATTGTCGCCGAGTGGCGATGCTACGTGTGCAGACGGTGGGACGGCAAGAGAGGGAATACAGTGCGTGTTAAGGAAAGGGGACTTGGCGCGAAGCTGGGGAGAGCTAGGGGCTGGGGTGTTGAACCCAGGAGTCCCGAGGTGGGGGCTTCGCAGTTGCTGACGGTCCCAGTTGGTTAGCTTTTGTGTCGCATGATGACCTGGGAGAGAGGATACACACCGCAGCAACAATTCCTTCCCTAACCTGACGCTCGAGGCTCAGATTAACCTGGCGTAACTCGGTACACTCTTGACGAAGCTCAGCAATATCTGCGCGCTATAGACGAGGGCATAAGGTCGAAAACACGCCCAACGAGGTGCAGGACTGACAGATTTGAGGACCACTTCCATGATCTGGCTAAACATGGCCTCCACGCTTTGGGCATTGGCACCAGGCGCAGCCTGCGGAGTGGATGGCGAGACCATATGACGAGAGAACGACATGATGGGGGAAACCAGAGACGAGAATGGGATGGAACAACGGGATAATGATACTTATAATAAGTTAGCGCGAGCGAACCCTCAACGTGTCCACCATTTTTTGACGGCATCGCTTGTTCTCAGCGCACGTGGTCACACCCTGGGACATGATCCACTCCAACAGGTGACCCTCATAACGGACCTTCTGTGAACCCATACATCTCAATTTGTCCCCAGCGGTTGCGGCCAACTGCCAAATGAACCATACATCTCTATTTTGGGGCCCATCTTGTGAACGTATCATTCCTGTCAATGCTGTCTACTGTCAGTGTCTAGGCGGTCGTCCATGCGGCTCCGAGTCTCCTACAAATCGCTCCGTTCTCAAGCTTATATTTTCTAGACAAGGATGGTGACTCGTCCTCATTTCGATGCCTCTGTCTATCTATAGCCGCTGTATTGTGCTCTCCAGTGTTCTCTGACAACCCCCTCACCCGATCACTGCCTGATTAATTGTTTTCATACCCCCACTCTCTGTCCGATAAGCTCTTCTTTATTTGTATGACATCACTCACTCTTGGCGTGTCCCATGCGCCCTTTGTATGGTAGTGGATGTCAAGTATCGTGTCGCGTGACCAGCTTGAGCGCATTGCACGCTGCGCCTACCTGTCAAGCGTCCTTGAAGCTTTTCCCAATCTACACAACTTCGGTGGAGAGTCGCCCGGCTCCCCGGATTTAAAGCGGCGGATGCTTGACTTGTCTATAATGTAACAGCCTCTCATACCACGCAGAAGCAGCGGGCCTTTGATCCGGCTGCCGCGTCAAAAGTGACAGATTGCCTTGACAAATCACAACTACATCATTCTGTGACGCAACTTCATTTTAGCTTGCCAGAAAAACAAATCGATTCCCATTGACCAAAATAGCTGTTCGTTAAAGGCTGGGATACCCACTCCAGCAAGACGGAAGCACGTGGTGACCAATCCGTCAGATGCGTCTGCAACCTAGAGGGGCCGTTCGGCCATAGGAGCTTCCTAGTTACTGACCGCCTTCTATCCTTCTCTGGTAAATTGACCCGTTAGTCCGTAGGCTACACCATATGCGTGGTCTCACTCTGCTGCTCTGCTTATCATTGTCAAAACTGCGGCTCACACTAACTGCGTAAGTAGCACTGCAGCCAAGTGCAGTGCCTCGTAAACTAGGCTAGGGAAACATGGTGGGCAAGCATCAGCCATCAGGCCCCATCCTGGTGGCATGCTCGGGTCTAGGAGGCTCATGGGTTGGCTCGCTGGCCCCCGCTGGCATATTTTCGGACCGTGACCACATGCAAAAGTTCATCAGGAATTGTTCACAGGGATCCTGGAAATACGATGAGAAACGTAGGAACTGCTTCCCATCGGTCACGGTAGCGTAACGACCAGTGGCAAAATCTGTCAAATCAGTGTAATAAGGAAACACGCTCGTGGGTTTTCCCTAGAAAAGCAGGAGTATCTACGCAAGCCACGTAGCCAGGTCGGTATGCTTCAATAACAACCAACCTTCATCTACGTTACGTTACCATGGAGCCCGATCAAGACCCTTGCTTGTGATCATCGTTCTCGCCGACTGTAGCCATAGTTACATACAGGTGATAAGAATCATCTGCCCGCCCAGGTTGAATGTCTGCCGTCTTCGCAGTGAACGGGTGACGTCGATTTGAGTGCAAAAAGAAGGCGCTACCAGGGTTCGAACCTGGGTTAACGGAAAATGTTATTTGCCAAGGGGAAAGTCAGAATCCGTTGTGATAGCCACTACACTATAGCGCCAACATGGGAGTGGTGAGAAACGCGCATGGTGATGCTGTTTGCCACGGGATGGGTGTGGCAAGACAAATAATCGACCAATATCCGCTCAGGCTGGCAGCTGGCCTACCATGACGGTTGTCGCCCCCCGCATTGGTTAAAGTTTCGTGTTTGTTACTGGTATGTGTGCTATTTTGGACCTGCAAGACAGACGTTACCTGAGAAGGGAATGTTGACCATGATCCCGTCAGAAGGGGCGGGCCGTGATGCGCAAATTGGTCCCGCCGCCGTACAGCACAGCCATCCATCTATGTGGAACTGATTGGAACCGACTAGTATAACCTCTTACCCCTAACAGCAAACGTCTGCAATGACAACTAACCCGCCCCATATCCTCATCGCGCGCAACTCTCGTGGCCTGTCGAATGTCTCTGCGTCTCTGAGTTCTCCCACGGAGACGCACGCCGCAGCTGCAGGGATATTCCGTTCTTCAGCTGGATCACCTCCGTGGTTCCTCGAAGGGGCGGAAACGGAGGACGCAGTCTCCGAGCTCAGCATCAACGACTCGCAGCAACCGATCGACGTTAACGAGGCATTTACCAAATGCTCCAAGTTCCCTGGGACGGTCAAAATCGTCGTCGAGAGCACGACGTTCTGGTGCGTGTGGTCCCCCAATCCAGCTCGTCATGCCGATCACCGATGGTGGGGCGTCTTTCTCAGGGCTCATAAAGAGGTCCTCTGGTTCGCTTCTCCTTTCTTCCAGGCCGCTCTGAGTGGGAACTGGTCGGAGACTGGACGTCCGCTTTCCATGTCCTCTGTCATTACGATCTCTCAGCCCCCCACAGTCCCGGGGGACAAGACACATCCTGACGCGCCCACGGCTATGACGTTTGCACCCGTGGACCCCGATCTGGACCCCGAGGAGCTGGACATTGACATTTCAGAGTCAAGCGAACCTGAGGTCATCGAGTCGTCCACCTCAACCATTGTCGATGCCGGAGGAGACGACAAACAGACCCATGGGGTCGAATCGTGTACGCTCTCTGAGGCCGAGGCCCAAAAGAAGAAAGCCCACGAGGCTGCGCGGATGGAAAGCCTCGAAAAGCTTCAGAGGGGCGCCGGTGGAAATGCCCGCGCGGCCCAAGGAGGGTCATCCGCGCGTTCGGACAGGGAGAAAGGCAGCGGGATCGTCAAACTTTCTTGGAAGCGGGGTAACGCAGGGGCGTCTGTTAGGCATCAACAGATGGCGAGCAATCCTGATGCCGTTATAGTCCTCAAAGAGGAAAAGGTGTGGTCGTTGGCTGGGTGTCTCCCAAAACTCGTCTCATTGGCGTTCAGGCGAGCACCTTTCATGACTTTCTCCGGTTCGTTTATCCTGGGTATGTTCTTGTTGCCAAAAAAAAAATCGATATATCATATTGACCTTTGACGCAGCATAGAGTGCACAATCACCTGGAACAACGTGGAGGGTCTCATGAACATCGGCAACAAGCTTTGCGTGCCCTCTCTGCAACGAATATGCCTCAACTTTCTCCTTACACATGCAGCCGGCCGCCCGATCAAGGCGATGCGCATCGCGGAGCTGTTTGAGGAGGAAGAGTTGTACCGCGAAGCCTCGCGCTTCGTGCTCGACAATCCAGGTGGGTGGCCGGAGCAGGAGCTCAACACACTCAGCAGTGAGACGCTGCTTAAGCTCGAGAAAAGGTAACCTCCCCTCCCCTTTCCTATGCCCCCCAAGGCTCTCCACGCCGCAATAGCTGAACATTAGCAATTATATCTGCACAGGCGTACCTGGTTCCTTGAGCGAGTGCTCAAGCTGGGCCTTGTTCAGATCGCCAAAGAATTCGAATGTGTACGTCCGACTCTCCTAGTTTCGGTTCGGTATACGGATTTATTAGGACTCCCGATGTATCTAGTGCCCATCTTGTCCGGACCCGTCGACCTGCGCGCGACTGCTTGACGAGAAGTGGCGCCAGGCCTACCAGGCCGTCTTCCGTTTCGGGCCCTGCCAGCCCTCCATGGTCTTCCGTTACCTCCGCACGCTCGAAGGGGTCAGCCCGCCCCTCGCGCTCTCGCATCTCGCCTGCCAGACGACCGCCAAGGCATTCGTGGCCACATGTACGCAACCCGACTTCCTTCCCCCTTCTTTCCCTCCCCACGTCTCGTCCGTACTTCTCGAGTGTCACTGACGGGGTTTTTTTTTTCTTCATTTACTCTCCAGTGTTCGATCGCATGTTCTCGCTTGGCGTGCGCGGAAGCGGCACGGACACGGCCCCTCTTGGCGCGCGTGTCGCGGCCGTTGCGGGCATGGCGAGCGCGACGCTCCCACGGCGTCACTTCTTATATTGTTCGCTCAGGCCAGAGAACCCCGTTCCACCGCGTGGGCAATGGCATCATCGTCTCGAGACTGCGTCGTGAGACTAGTTGTATGATCTGATTCTTTTTCGAGAGAGTGGCCCTCTCCCGCTAGATCCCTTCATTTGCATCTACTATCCATTATTTCGCCAACGTAGATTAATTCCTTCGCAGTGCCATTGCCTGGGTAAATAAATTTGTCGGAGATACTGGAATTTGATGTGCGCCGGGAGGTCCAGGCCGACTCGGGTCCCTTGCTTCACAGTTCACAGATAGACACGGTGGTGGTGGTACAATGTAATCGTATTATGCGATATACTGGTCTTGGTGGACCTCCAGCCTCCGGCGGACGAACGGGAAATATCCAAATGGAAAATGAACCCTCTACTTTCTAGTGGAGTTTTCTTGCCTCGGAGCGCAGCGGCGAGGCAAGGCGGGGGGCAGCCCGGCCCAGGTAGTGCCAGTGGTCAGCTTGAATAGTGCGTGTGTGTTAGTGGGGTGGTGTACAATGCAATCCCCATGAAGGCCGGTCATGCCTGCCTTTTGTAAGCGAAGCCTCCCATGACGACTGTCCTGCAGAGAGTGGCTTGACACGTTCCGTCATGATGTAAATTGTGCCATCGACCACTGCGGGAGCACCTAACTACGGCCCCTTAACACGCACGACGACGACGACGTTAATCAGCAAACAAGGTAACAATATGCAACAGGATGGAAAGTAGCGGCGGAAGGCCTACGCACCGATGCCCGCTTCGGCCATCGCCTCGTAGTCGTCCTTGAGGATTTACAGACGGCGGAGGAAGAGCACGTCGATCGCCTCAAACTCGCATTTCTTGTCTGATAGTCAAGCAAGGAGTGTTGCGCTTGGAGGCTGCGAGCGCTGTGCGTGTGAAGTGCGGGTAGATGCGATGGATAAACGCATGGGAAATCAGTAGTGGAACCAGAACAGATCTCGAGCTGGTCACTGTCGCTAACGTCATCATCATGATGGTCCCGAAGATACGAACTGACATAATCCCTATTCCTACTACAGTCCTGTAAAGTACATAGACTTGAAACTGAAAAATACAGGTCATTCGCTTGGATCCAACTCCGCAGAGAACAACTTCATCTCCTTCATCAATTCTTTCAACCCAGAGTCGCGTGGTTCTGGGCAAGTTATTTCTGAGCCAGTGGGGATCACGAATACAAAGTGCCACATCGTCTTTGGCGGGAGCGACGGCTGTGAAAAGAACGGAACAATACCTCGGTTAATCGGGTGATTAGACGCGATCGAAAATTGAAAGATGTAGAGATGTCCGTTTACCAAGATGAAGGAATCAAACGCGGCTTGATTCGTCAACTCGGGCACGTAGAAGATATCAGGTTGAATAACCCCCAGTGCAGAGCCTCGATATTCGACACCTCTGTCGGGGTAAAATCGACCCAATGGTGATCCGAGTGCGATGCAGAGTCCGCCTCCATTCTGTGGTTGGAATGCCACCGGGGCAAATTCTTTCCTTTACTCCCTTCGCCGGAGCTGGTAAGTTCATCGGATTTCCGCTTGACCATAGGAAAGAGCTCCAGTTCGACCTTTTTCTGCAGCTTCGACTGAGCCAACGCCTCGAACACGAGACCCGCCGTCCGCCTCGACGCTTCCACCGCTGCCAAGTACTTGTACAGGCGTATCTGCTCGCCCCGCTCCTCTTCTCGGATTCGTCTCCGAAGCGCCGACTTGGCTGAAGTCGTGATAGGTTCCACAGACCAGCGCCGAAGGTTATCGAGGTTCGTGCGTTTGACCAGGAAAAGTGTGTGAGAGAGGGTATCCATGTTCGGCGGTCCGCGGCTGTTGGATATCAGACGTAGTTGTTGTGCCGTCAAGTTGATTATAGCGTCATTGTACTGGTCTTTATAAGTGTTTAATCCATCCTTGCTGTGGAGGAAGTCGATGCATATTCGAGGGGTGGGGCCAAACTGATCATACAGGTCATTGATATCCGTGCGATCGATATCTAACAGGCCATGAAGGGGAGCGCTAAACAGCTAGGGATGAGGCCAAGTACCCAGAATGGAAACGGAGAAGCTCACGCTCGGAGTATCTCCTCTCTGGTCCAAGGGTTCATGATAAGAATTACCATGGAAGTAGTCTTCCGCAAAGGTGCCCATCGCTCTCTATTGGGCGAACTGGTGTATATGAGAAAATGCTTTGTGTCGTGTTGAGTAAGCTGGCTTGCGACTTGTTCATCCGAATCAGCCAGAGTCCAAATAAACGTCTTGAAGTCAGATACTGCGTGATCCGGAGGGGCCTTATAAACGCCATCGGCTGTAAACAGGAAACACCCCCGTCCACGGTACCAAATAACCAGCTTCCCTTCGCCAAGCCTTCGACGTAGAGCATAGCGGATCCAGTAGGATTTCCCTTTTCGCGGCAGATGTAATTCATAAATAAAAGTTTATTACGAGGAGCCACTTACCGATCCCAGGTTGTCCTGTTATGACGACAGAGGGCCGAACCCCGGAATAACCGTGCTTGAGTGTTTTGTAGAGCTCGTCGCAAGAATCGTAGATGCGCCTGTAATCTTGGCGTATCCAGAGTCCTGAGATCCCGAGATCCTCGATACCAAAGTCAAGGGGGTAGCAGCCCGGACCGATTTCAGTTCCAATATTCTCGTCATCCTCGTCTATCACCA